CCATTCCTGTCCATTTTAGTTCACTGATGCCCAGGATGTCAATGTGTATTCTTGCCATCCCCTGTTTGACCACCTCCAGCTTCCCGAGGTTCATAGATCTTACATTCCAGGTTCCTATGCAGTATTTTTCTTTGCAGCATTGGACTTTCCTTTCACTTCCAGGCACGTCCACAGCTGATCATCCTTTCAGCTTTGGCCCAACCGCTTCATTAGCTCTGGAGCTACTTGTACTTGTCCTCTGCTCTTCCTTAGTAGCATGTTGGACGCCTTTCAACCTGAGGGGCTCATCTTCCAGTGTCATATCTTTTAGCCTTTTGTTTCTGATCATGGGGCGTTTTTGGCAAAGATACTTGAGTGGCATTGCCATTTCCTACTCCACGTGGATTGCGTTTAGTCAGAACTCTCCAATATGTCCTGTCCGTCTTGGGTGTCCCTGCAGGGCATAGCCCATAGCTTCTCTGAGTTACTCAGGCCCCGTCACCACGACAAGGCAGCAATCCATGAAGGGGTATATCGTTCCCAGGAACCAACATTAAGCTAGTTCTAACAGTACTCTTTCCAAGGTCCGCTTTCAACATGCTGGTGTAAATTAAGATTGCTGCCTGGAGAAGCACACATAAGGGAAAGCTTCTAAAATCCATTTTCTATTTCATGTATACCCTGCATCAAGAATCTCTCTCTGAAATAGGAAGACGAGCACATAGGTATGTAGAGAAACTGCCACGTGGGAAGCCCCTGTTTGGGTACTTCAGCTGAGGTATGTTGTGACAGCGAAGGCATACAATGACTATGCTCATCTCCATGTTGACCCCTCAGAGCTCAAAATGGCAGAATTCATCATGATCAGTATATGTGGTAAAGTCCAAATTTGAAGCTACTGCACTTAATTTAACAATTTTGCACTTCTCTGCATCGGTCAAGGATGAGAAAGCTTTGACTCCATAGATTGTTTAGTCTGTAACTCCCATCATTCCTACAAAGCAGGGAGTAGCCCCCACAAACACACTGAGGCAAGGCACCCTCCATCATGGTCCTAGGGCTGCTCATACTACCAAGTATGGCCAATAGTAAAGAACTGAGGAGGCTGCCATTCAAAATATCTGGAGGACAAAGGAGTCCCCACCACTAGTATAAGAGCTGATTTCCACACTTCTGGCTTAGCAGTGCTATATAATACAGTGGGAAAGGGGCATAGCGCAAAGCACAGACTTTCCACAGAGAAGAGCCCAGATCCATTCCACTGTATTGCCTGATAGATCTGAGAAACATTCTTGCATCTGATACCCAGGGCAACCACTGCAAACACAATAGACTGTACTGAGCTAGAAACCAATGGTTTGGCTAAGTATAAGGCCACAACCACTAAATGTGTATAAAATGCATGCCTTAGGGTCTGAAGTGGATGTCTTACATTGGCCACATCCTATTGCACAACGACACAAATGCAACTCAAGGTTGTGACCTTGGTAGTTGCACTGATGCATTGCACAGTCATGCAGGGAAAACCCAACCAATTACACAATTCCTTGTGGCCAGGTACAATTCCTTGCACATTTATCGCAGTGTAACTTTATACTTTGCCAGCATGAATAGGATATATTCAAAATATTTCCAGAGGCTTCTTTTATTTACTGCATTTTATAAACATTTGTTAATTGTGGTTTCATAGAAGATAAATGCACTGCATAACCAACATGTCAATTCATCGATATAAGGCAGTTTCTTGCTTTCCATTTCAGCCTTCTTCATCTTGGGCTACAACTCCCAGACTCCCCAAACCAAGAGGCTGACTAGGAACTTCTGGGAACTGTAGTCTGAGACATTGGGGGGGGGAGCTCTTAAGTTGGGAAAGGATGTTGTAACTGGCTTCATTCAGTTATCCACTGATGTTGGAGCATATGGAAATTACTGTGCATGTAATTAATCAAACTGAATTCCCTCACAGCAGTATATGCAAAGTTGCAGGATAAAAGGCCGTGTAAGAATTGGAAAATTGTTGTACTAAAGTTTCAAAAGCCAAAGGAATGCTCTTTAACTCAAAGTCTCCTTGCATTACACAACAGGAAGCCTTGAGTACTTTGTTAAAGTCCCACCATCACTCACCTCTGTGAAGAAGCCGGCTATTCCAGCCTGACAGGAACCATGCTCCTCGCCATATTTCTTCTTATACTCTAACACAGAGGGGGAAAATAAGTGTGTGGGGGGAGGGGGGAAGAGAAAAAGAAACAGAGTCATGTCAGTCTCTGCCAGATGTGTGTGGTTCACAACTGCACAGTCCCCCTCTGCTTCATTCCACATGCACAGTTATGCGCTCAACTGCAGGAGGCCCACACCAGAGCCAACCCTGGGAAATCTCTGGAATTCAGTAAACCTCAGATATGCAGATATGCTTTGCCACAGTACATGGGAACTGTCAAGGGGAAGCAGGGGAAGGATAGCAATAGCATAATAAACAAGCAAAAACAAAAAAGATCATCCCTATTTCCTTAGTCCGAAGAAAACAAGCTTCTGATGGAACTTGACTCACAATAACATCATTAAAACACTGATTTGAGGCTTGGCCTAAGTCAGTTCCCAACCAGAATGAAACTAAGGTCCACAGAAAGACATTTGCTTACCTCAATTCCTTGTCATTCCACCCCCAGTTCTTTCCTAGCCCTTTTAATCTTTCTCTTTCCCTGACTGCAACTGTTTCCTTCCAGTGTAAGTGAGTGATTAAACTAATCTCCTGGGGGCTCAAATCCATTTAGAAAGACTTGCAAGTGTCATGTAAATTGCTGGTGATGGTGTTAGTGATGTTAAATATCACTATCACAATTAAAAGAGCTAGGGAAAATGGCTATGCTGGCCAGGATATCCTGTGCACTGCAGTCCAGAAAAGTACTTTTCCAAGCACGGGCTGCTAGTACAGAGCGGTCTGGGCAATGTAACAGAATCATAGGCAACTCCTGGGATTTACCATCACCAGAGGCAAGCCTACGCAGTTCAGTCATCTCTCCCAGAATTCATCCCTCACTCCTCTGTTCCTAATACCATTTTCCCCTTCCTAGATTAAGTTTTGCAACTTCACATTACTTGTCTGTTTCTTTCAGTAGTACCCAGTGTTTCAGTTACAGTTGCTTTAAAATATCAGAATAGTGTAGCACAAGACTAAGATCTTATCAAACCAAAAAAGGAAAGGAAATCTAATATGCATTTTTTAAAAAATATGTATTTGAGAAAGCAAGGAAGTGTTCTAACATACTCCCTGACTACAGCCTTCAGAATCAGCTGAAGTTTCTGAACACTCTGCCCCACATAGAGCATGTTAGAGCAGTCCAGATGAAATGTGACCAAGGCATGTGTCACTGTGGCCAAATCAGAGATCTCCTGAAACTGGTACAGCTGGCACAACAGTTTTAGCATGGCAAAGGCATTCTTGGCTACCACTGAGACTTGTATTATTCAAGCACAGGGTTGAGTCCAGGAGCACATCCAACAAAGGCATTCTTGGCCACCACTGAGACTTGTGTTATTCAAGCACAGGGCTGAGTCCAGGAGCACACCCAGGTCGCAAACCTGACTTTTCAGGGGGAGTGAAAGCCCATCTAGTACAGGCTGGAATTTCTATCCCCTGATTTGTGACTGACCAGGAGCACCTCTGCCTTGTCTGAATTAAGTATCAGTTTGTAAGCCCTCATCCAGTCCATTACTGGAAACTGGCACTGGTCTAGGCACAGAGCAGCTACCTTGGAATGGGAAGGAGAGATTGAATTGGGTGTCCTTAAGATACTGATGACGCTGCACCTCAAAACTCCAGACAGCCTTTCCTAATGTACATGTTGCATAACATGGGGGATAGAACTAAACTTTGGGGGCAACGCCAGCCAACGACCGAAGTGTTGAGCAGGATTCCCCCAATACCACCTTCTGAGTTCGACCATCTAGGAAAGATTAGAACCACTGTAAGATGAAGATTCCCCTGGAAAATCAATTAGAAACTAAGCAGAGAATCTTACAAAGACCTTTCCACATTTTCGCAAAAGAAAAGAAAAAAATGAAAACAAATATACCAAGATGGAAATAGTTTTGAGTATGCAGCATAGATATGAGGAAGGAAAAGTATTTCAAGACTCTAGTTTGCACCACTGTTTTTCATTTCTATCTCTTCTGAAATTTACCATTTAAACCTCTGGCAAAGAATTCAATGTACCACTGGGGGGGGGGATCCCATTTCCTGATTCTTGCAATATGTGCCCAATGATAAGTGGGATTTTAGGATTTCTTTCTCTTTTTTAAAGCAGTGTAATTTACTGTGAAAACACCCACCGTGTAGCCTGGAAACCCTAGAACAGTCAACCACCAGCCCACTTCTAAATTATAAAGAATGCACACAGAATCTCTTTGCAGATTGTCTCTTTGGAACCAAGTATATACCTCATGGTTTGATTCACCTTAAGAACTTAATAATAAACGTCACCACAAAAGCTCTCTATTAGAAAGAAAGAAAGAAAGAAAGAAAGAAAGAAAGAAAGAAAGAAAGAAAGAAAGAAAGAAAGAAAGAAAGAAAGAAAGAAAGAAAGAAAGAAAGAAAGAAAGAAAGAATGAATGAATGAATGAATGAATGAATGAATGAATGAATGAATACCTGGACTAGCCAACACTTTTAACAAATACAAAGATCCCATATATTGGGTAGAACACTACACCCACCACAAGATAAATGAAAGAAATCTGTATTCATTATAAGGATTTCCTTTTTAAGGCCTACCAGGCTGAAAAACAACACAAATCATTTGGTGACTGACAACAGTCTGTGGCTGCAAATGCAGTAAACCTAAGTAATCTCTATAGGGCCACTAACTCAATAGGAGACAGCCTGAAAATTAGGACTGAGATAGAATAGCACTGTTAGAAGCCAAGTATTATCAAACTGATTCAAACTGATGCATAGACATTAATGCCTCATAAAGTACATTCTAAATTGCCTGGAAGACAGCATAAGCTTTCTTGAGACATTTGCCCTCAAGTTGTAGAGGATGGCAACTTTTGAAAATTTTTCTTTAAAATATTTTTACTCCACCTTTCTCCTTAAGAAGCACCCAAAGTAGCTTACCAATAAGTGAGTATACCAATACTAAAAAGGATCAAACAATGCCACCCTAAACAGCAATAAACAAAATCAGAATGAAAAGTGCATTCAAAGCAGGAAGGCACAACCATCCATTTAAAACCCCCACTTGGCAGCCATTCACTCAGGGAAAGCTTTCCTGAAGAGGAAGGTCTTTGCCTGCTTGCAGAAGGACAGCAAAGATGGGGCCAGCATGTGGGAGGGAGTCACAAAGTCTGGGAGTAGCAACAGAGAAGACCCTCTCCCATGGCCCACAAAATGCACTTGTGAGGATGGTGGGACCAAGCAAAGGTCCCACCAAAAATAAGGTGCTCCTTATTTTGTGTGACTTTGCTAAATGTCTCAGAGTTTCATACTACTTTCTTTACTTGGCTAGAAGGAATCCTACAGGTCATTATTTCCACCCCTGTCAAAACAACCCGACCTAAACCATTCCTGACAGATGGCCATCCACCCTCTGTCTCCAATGAAGGAGAATCTACCACCTTCTCAGGTTGTCCAATCAACTGTAGAATATGAAGTTCTTCCTATGTTTAGTAAAAAGGTCCTTTTTTATTCACAGTAATTTGAATACAGTATTTTAGGTCCTACTCTTTGAAGTCACAGAAAACAAAACTGGTCCATTCCCTATGTAACTGGCTTCAAATATTTGAAGATTGTTTTCATACTACCAGTCAATCTTCTTTTCTTTAGGTTAAACATTTCCAACTCTCTAGGGCTTGTTTTCCAGATAGATTTGTGATAGGAAAGATTTGTGAAGAAGCTCTGGTATTAACATTCAAGGACCACAGTAATAATAATGATGTGCTATCAAGTTGATCATGAATAATGGTGACCCTATCCAGGATTTTCTAGATATAAAGTACTTGGAAGTTTACTATTCCCTTCTGGGGGCGGGGGTACTCAGGGACTGTGCATCTTGACCAATTCTACATTGGCTGGCTCTTCTCCCAAGAGATGCAGTGAAGACTCAAACTCCCAACTTCTGGCTTTGGAGCTAAGTACTCAAACCACTGAGCTAGCTAATAACAGAATATGAAATGGAAAAGATCAGGTTGACAAACCAAAATATAGAGTATAGAATATAATATATTTACTTTTTTAAAAAAAAATACAAGGTATTGTATAATATCTACAAAAAGCAAAGAACTGCAACCAGCATTGAGTAAAAACAACAAATACTACATGCAAACTTACAATACAAACACAGGTACGTAAAAAAAAATAGGAGAGTAAGAGAAGACAACTGAAGGTGAAGCGAGTCAGAAGTTCTGTTACAAGCAGAACCAGAAAGAAGCTGTCATAAAAATGATGGCCAAGAAACAAAACTCAACAACAATGTCCAGAAGGAGGCAGGAAGAATTCCATGGCCCAGTGTTTCTAGGGCAGGCCTGAAGAACTGTGCTTCCATCTAGATATGTTGAACTTTCATAAGTCCTCACTGTAGCATCCAGATATTGGCCATCCAGATATTGTTGAACTTCAACTTTCATAAGTCCTAGCCAGCCTGACCAATGGTGGGGCATGATGGAAACAACAGTTCACCAGCATTTGGAAAGCCAAAGGTTCCTCACTTTAGGTAATGAGATTTTTGAAATATGAGCATGTCTTACAACTGACTGTTTTATCACTGGTTTAAATTGATCAAGAAATATATAAGGACTTGATATGAAGTGGGTTCAGATAAGGATCCTGAAAGGAGGCTGCAGGCATACCTAGATTAACCCTGTCCTCTTCAGTGGTCACACCTGGTGGCCGTGCCCCCTGCCATCTGTACATTAATCAAACATGAAAAGACAGTCATTTGTGCATAACAATGTATACATGGAGAACTTTTCAGTGCAAGGAGGACTACCCACTGTGAATTGTATCTTCAGACCCCTCTTAAACTCACAAATATGCAGATAGAAATTACACAAACAGCACACATACATAGCATACAGCTGTGTGGTTACTGATTGTAATTACATTTCCCCGCAACAAGTAAGAGTGTACTTGTGGTACTACTAATACCATTGGGATTATAAATTTATCAGATTCATCCCCATAAAGCATGTTTAC